CTCTCCTAATCTCATTCATATAATCAACCATGTCATGAGTTTCACTCGTAGAATACTACGAATTACGGACTTAGCTACGACGTTTGAATTATTACTTTCGTAGAGATTATGAACCACCAATGGCAGCACCATTTTTTGGAGTGTTTAATGTGATCACTCTCTTTAAATTATGCTTGTTACAGGTGATTATTTCTTTCGTACACTTTCAAGGGTTATTTTTACTACGAACGTAATTTATGATTACTCAATTACGAATATTCAGAGCAGAATTTTAATAATTCGTAATTAGAAATATGATATTCGTGATTTTCCGAATATCACAACTACGAATGAAATTCATGATAGTACTGAATATCTTTTTAAACTTAGTTGTACATTTAAAATACGAAAATAGTGTTAATTATTTTTAATTAATATAATATAAGAATTCTTAGAAGTTCTAATTAAATAATCCAATTTAAAAATGAAATTCAATATAAATAATATAATATTGTAGTAATCTGTTATATGACATCACTAATTTAAATTAAAGTTATACACGTAACATATAATATGTACAAACTTATTTTATGTAAATAGTTACAAATAAATTTGTATATTTCATTATATAATGTACTATTTTAGTTATGTAACACTATTTTATTAATGAAACTTAATATTATTATGTTATTAGATTTGTTCCTTGTACATCTGAAGAATAGTACTGAAAATATTAAAAATCAATTTTTGTAGACAATAATTTCATATTAGAAGTGATCTCTGACAAATTGGCTTATGCAACAGTTTGAGCTCATATATTGAATAATAAATTGTATTACTTTTCTTTCAAATATTTTTTTAATAACTAACAAATTACTGTATGTAATATTAAAGCTGAACTTGTACCATATCATAATATTATAATACGTATTCTAAATGAGTGTTGATTATTCCCTCTGCTATTTTTTTGTTTCACAATTACTTCCACCGTTTTATTTTAAGATATTTAAAGCGATTAAGCGACAATATTTTTGCATTAAAATCGATCTTTGAGTGGTAAAAGTTTATTTTATTACGAATAATTATAATATATGTGTACATTGTTTAATAATATTATTCTTAATAAACAGCTTAATATTTTTATTATGATCATTAACATTTCAGTAATTTAACGTTTACGTATACATAAAATTATTTATAAAGAATAACATTTATGTATAAAAATTCAAATTGAAATTCTTTTGAATCAAAATTAATTTTTAATTCAATAATAATTTTGCCTACGAATTTTTAAATTTTTGCATGTTAATATAGTCCCACACGTTTAAAATGAATATCATATTACATGAAGCTATCTATGCATATAAGTACCTATTTGTTTGAATTCTTATTTTAATTGTAATTGCGGGAAAAAACTTTTGTGTATCACATTAAAAAATCAAAAAATAAATATTATTTGACAAAAAATAAATTTTTAATAAGATTTTAATTTTCCACCTAAATTCAAAAACAATTATTTCATTAAATATTATAAGTTCTTTTATTAAACAGGGCTTGAATATTCATTGAAATATATACGAATATTAATTTTCAGTGAATATTATTAAGTGTTGTTTCATATACGTCTACATAAATTTGATTTCAAACACAAAAGTAAATAAAAAAATAATAATTTTTAATCCTTAATTCAAATATTGGCGACATTTCTTTAAAAATTTTCAAACACATTATATTTTATTAGAAAGTGGTACTCTTGAAAAGAAAAGAGTCTGAGATTAGCTTTTAAGATAATATTTTTCATGTTTTCTGTATATTTTAAGAAAAAAAAGATCACTAAAACAAGAATAAATTTGTATAGAGTAATGCAAATGAAAGGGTTAACGTGTACCTAAATTGGCATAACTACATGTTTGCACATTTAAAATTAAATTGTTTATAAATTTTACTATGTTCCAATAACCTGTTTTATATTATAAAAGAAAACCTTACCTTCTATTAAAGTATCACTATATCGGAAATTCATTTATATCCAATCAACCATTTAAATTTCTTTTTGTAATGCCAATGAATTTTAAACACTTAATTATATTATTATTGAGTTTTGGAATTTTGCCAATTAAATGAATTGCCAATTAAACCATATTAGATATTGTATAGTATTGAAAATGATATCACCATTTACTTTATAATTTTATTAGAAACATAAACACATATAATATGTAGATAGTATTCAACACAATAATTAAGATTAAGATAGAATAATGTATAAAATTAAAAAATACCATACTTATTTTTAATGAAAATTTTTGTTGTAAAGTTGAATTAGAAATTCCTTTTTAGTGTCGAATGAATTGAATAAAAATATAAAACTGAATATTAGAAGAAGACGTTCAAGGAATTAAAATTCTAATACATAATTAGAATATTGTAATTTTTAAAATTTAAATAATATTATAATAGAGTAAAAATAGAACTAGAAGTAGAAAATACAATAGACATAAAGAATGTTAAGCCTACAATAATATACCCTAACCTATAATAGATTAGCCGCTAACCTATGGTAACAGTACCTAAGATAAAAAAAACTTTATAATAATAAATATAAGAAATTGTACACTGCAGCTTAAAATTTTATTTGTGACACTAATTGCTGATTTCCCCTAAACAATAAGTTAATTAGTCAGTTAGTTAGCGAAGGGAGGTGGCACCTTAAACGCTACCACCCAGCACTAGACCAATAGAAGGCCTATCGGCATCCCTCCACAATACATTATCCCCTGCTAAAAGCTCCTTGAAAAAGTTTAGTAGATTCAATCCGCCAAATCTCCGACATCCTCCCAAAAAGCGTTTTCACCTTCGTATTAGAGCGGGGAATTTACAGAGCATGTGATGCACATAAACCACAATTGCGATCTCTAGCCATCCGCGTCCCTGTCTCTTAACCTCTCTCCCATTAAACCGTGTCCGTTAAAATGTCAACTGCTGAGATCCCTTCTTCTCAAAGGCAACAGCTCCCTTGTCCTTGCACTGTTCTCCTTCGGCCATAGGGCTCTTGTTGTTGCACCAGTACACCTATCAAACTAAAGAAAGTTTCCCCTTCTTCTAGTTTCCTCATCTATAATGTTCTTCAGCTCCTCCAAGAGCTAAAGCATTTTAATAATATGACAATTTTGTTGACTTAATAAAATAATACATACTATAATTTTTTTGAATAATGTTGAGTTATTTTATCATACGAGTGGTTTTATAGTCGATTTTAAGTGGGATATCAAGGATCCTTTATTGAAATTAAAAAAAAAAAGAACTTCCTTTACTTTGCGTAATTTCGGTTGGTAAAGATACTTTATTTGAATCGCTTTCACTTACGTATTTTTGTGGTTCTTTTTTTTTTTAAATAAGCTGAAAAATTTCTATAATTACTACTACTATATCATAAACTATTTTATTTCAACTTCTTTATATCATAAAGTATTTTATCTTCAACTTCTTTATTCAGTAAAAAATTCGAAATCTCTTCAATTTCCATTGTAAAATGAGAAAAGTATTTCAACATTTAAACTAAAATATTTTATTTTTAAAGTGAATTTGAATAAAAATGTATAACAAATTTTCATTTCTCTCGTATAAAGTGTTTCAGACAATAATACATCCAAATTTATATTAATTTTAATTTGCCTTATAGCTTCGGTGTAATACATTACACAAAAAATGTTAAACTACATTCTTGAAAATATTGTAAACATACTATAATACAAAATTACCAAATAGATAAAAACAAAAACACAACAAAAACAAAAACTACTGTTATTTCATTTATTTTATAATATTTAATTTATTTATTAAATTTATTTTACGATACACTCTATTTGATACATATGATAATATAATATTTTTCATAATATACCTAGAAATTTTGTTATACAATAGGAAATATAAAGAATATTTTATACATATTTGATACTCGTATTTTATTAAAAATTAAAAAAAAATTTATGTAATATTTTTATTGATTATTTTGCTTTATTATTATATTCACACTTCGTTAAAAATAAATAAAAAACACAAACCAATTAAAACTATTATACATTTTAATAGAATTTTAATACCATATAACAGTAATATAATAATATATTGAATTTCGAGTATACTTTTGTGTTACGAATATATATAAAAAAAATCTTATATTTATAATAACATACATTATTTATTTAATAAATTCAAAATACAATTATACACACTATAAATGAAAATATAAATATCTATATTAAATTTAAAGGAAAATTTTTAATTGCTTATCATACAAGATGATTTTACATAACTCTATACAATATTTTTTATATTTATAATATTATAATGTACTACAAAATATTGAAAGGCTATTTAAAAACAAATTGAATCAATTCCATAATTTATTATATTATTATATACATATCTACCTAATAAAATAAAGGAGTATAAAAATTAAAGATGTTCATTTTATTAAAACAAAGAAAAACAATAATTTTTATCTACATATACACATATTTAATATTATAAAATAATTATTTTTAATATTATAAAAAAAAATACAAATCATATATAATATTAAATAATAGCTTTTTACACAAAATTTTTTATATTATAATTTTATTTATTTTTTTTCACAATTTTTTTAATTATAATTCGAAAAATATTTCATTTACACAGATTTTATATTCAATTTGTTATCTGTTATATTTTCTTTTAATTTAGGTATATATAATAAAATTATTTTTTTTTTAAAATAACATACTCTTATAATTTTTGTTTTGTTACAAAATTTTTATAAAAAATTTACTCTTTACTATTATGTTATAACCAATATATTATAAAAAAGAAATATAATTAATATTATAAAAAAACATATGAAAACAATTAATTAAATATATATATGTATATATATATATATATATATATGTTAAAATCTATAAAATATTATACATAATTATTGTGTATGTTATATTATATAATATATATATATATATATATATATACAAATATAGGCAAGTGAAAAATGGACAAGTGTTCGTTATAGTACTGATTCAAGAAATAAAGTTAAAATTGAAAATCATATTTCATTGAATTCAAATTTAAATTTAAATGGATTCGGAAATGATGGAAGCTCAAATGGAAAAGGGAAATCAAAAATTATAGGACAGGAGGTAAAAATTAAAAAAAAATAAACAAAAAACAAATTTAAACAAAAAAAAAAAACAAAATATAAATAATTTAAATGAAAACAAAAACCTTTATTTTATATATATATATACAAAAATTAAATTATACTCTAATTCAAATTATAATTATTTTATTTTTAATTTTTATATTATGTAAAATATATACTTTATATTTATATAAACATAATTACATATATTATTATTTATTTTTTTGGCTTACAAATTATATTAAATTATTTGTGTTATATTGTGTTTCAATATTGTTAACAGAAGAACATGTCTAATACTAAGTCTATAACTTAAAATTTAAAAGTTTAATTTTGCTTTATTTTAATGATTGACGTTGTATAGCTTAAAGCAAAAATTTTTCAGCATAAAAATAAAGTTAAATATAAATTTCAACAAAGTATAGAAAATTTAAGACTAAAGAAGTATAGAAAATTAAACTAAATAAAAATTTAAAAATTGTTATTTAATTTAATTTTCCTGTTATATCAAATAAAAATTAAAATTTTACAGTTAAATGTTTTAAGAACTGCTTTAGCTTTTTTCGTTCCTCGTTTGATTTCCAATACAAGCTTTGTTAATAAGCTAAGAAATAAAAAATAAATTTAAATTAATGTACATATTATGCTTTGAAAAAAATTATAAGTTTAAAATAATGAAAGATTTTAGAAAATATTGTAAAATTTGCCTACATGTAACTTGTTAGTAATGCTATATGATAATTCTAATCTATTTTGATTATAATAAATCGGTAAGGTTTATCGATTTATTATAAAAGCGCTGGGTTCTGTTTAGAATTATTTTAGGATTTGAAAATGCAAGTTTAGATTTTACAATCAGACACTAATATTTAATACAGTTCCATATTCCTACGATATGATATTTCTGCTTAGGTATTTAACTGTTGGATATTGTTGATATCTACAAAGAATACTGTTAACTATATTTCCTTTTCTTGTTTCAATTTTTTACATAATTATTAACCATTCGTTTCTCTTAGTGTTATAGTAAATGGGAATGTAGAGATATGTAATTTTGAATTGATATGCCATGTGTGTGAAATTCCAAGGTTCTATTTTGCAAATTACTCGCACGTACTGATATTTAAGGCTTCCTTTTTATTATAGAGTAAAATAATTGCTACTGAAAAGGCAAATAGTAAATATTTAAATTCTTTATTCGATTTTTTTTACTTTTAATTAATTAAATATTTCAAAAATATCTTATGTTTAAAAAAAATGTTCAAGATTTCAAAATTATAAATTATTCTTATTCATTTCTATATATACATATATTATTTATTCATATGATTTATGTACATACTCGTAGTAATATAAATCACAATGAATAAATAATTTTAATAATTTCTTAATTGAATGTACAGACTAAAACCATTTATTCTATTTTAAAACAAGTTATAACAAAATTTCTATATAATCTGTATAATCTGTACTAAATCTATGTCTAACTATGTTATATGTTATATATATGTAAATATAATTATATAGTCTGTATAGGTATATGTGTATTTAGAAAATAACAATTTTAGTATTTCGTTTTTGAGTACAAGAGCACAACTTACAAGACTTGCAATATTAATTTTTTTATTATTGATTGGCTGACTTTCTTTTTTGAAGTGCAAGGACATTCATATAAATATGGTATGGTTCAATTATTTGCTATTTCAAATATTCTAATGAAAAATAATTATTATTAAACGTTGATATTTTTTAATAATTTTTTTAAGAATTTTATTAGATTATTTGAAAAATAAATTAATAAAATGAGGCTGTTAATTAAGCTAACCTTTTTTTTTGTCTTAAATGCTCATTGTCATTGAAGAATTCACTGTCGACTAAAATCAATTTAAATTTATATTCACATTGAATTCCTTTGATCTGGTTGCTTATAAAAATTCCATTCAATAAATTGTGTTAAAAATATTCAGAAACAAGGACCAGTATGACCGTTCAAAATATTTACTTTGTACACAATAATGTAATATTATACATTCTCATACATGTGAATAAAATTTTTTTCCTTATTTTGATTCCCTTAAGAAATACGCTATAGATACTTCAGAGATTATAATAAAAGATTTTGTTTTTTCTCTCAGGTCTTAAAATACAAACTATAAGAAAAGTAGAAGGTTTTTTTTTCATTCAAAATATACACAATATTTTCTTATATTAATTTTTTTTTTCATATACATCTTTCATCATCGTTGTCACAATCTTATGAACAATACATAGTACTCGTATATCGCGCTATTCCATTTTAATAAGATTGTGCCAAATATTTATTTTCTATACAGAAAATTTTCTGAGAAAATAAAATGTCGTGGTAACGGAATATAAAAATTTTAAATATAATGAAATTTATGATTTTATTTTTATCCTTATTTTAATTTTTCTTTAATTTATGTACAAAATAATAATAAAGGACCTAGTGTAATATAAAAATAATTGTCACTTTTTTTTCACTTTTCTTTTTTGTTTTCGTTTATTATAGAGCTCACAATACAAAAATGTACTCAAATACCCTTCATGAATTTTCTTTTCACTTTTTTTATGGTTCTTTATTTTTATTGCGATATACCATAATATCAAGGGTACATACATACATATATTCGCCTAATGTATTTGCTTTTTCATCTGTCAATTATTTTGGTATCTTATAATAATATGCATATAGTTGGCAAATTCAATTTGAACAATTATAATTATAATTTTAAATACAGCCAACTGCTCATGTATATGAGAGTATTACATTAGAATATAATTGTGTCTTTATTCTTTAAAATGAAGGCGAATTTTTTATTCAAATTCCGGATCAATGAAATCCTTTACAAATTCAAAAAAATTAAGTGGATTCGTATTTTAATATGCGGTATAATAGGAATTCAGTTGAAAAATTCCGAATGCTTTTAAGATTTTTTATAAAATCAAATTAAAAATCATTGTGTACAAATAGGGGTGCCGGACTTTAAGAAACAAAAATAGAACTCAAACTATAAGCACAAACATTTCTTTCATTTATTAACCATTTGAAATCAAAATTTTGCCACAAATTTGTTAAAGGTATGAAGAAAATAAAAATTTATTGTTCTAATGAAACGGGCCTACAACCAACTAACCATATTCTATTTCTATAGATTAAAATACTTTTCAGTCTTCTTATTATACCCGTACGAACGTATGTTCGAAGGGTATACTAAATTTGCCTTACCGTTTGTAACGCTAAGAAATAACGGTGTTAGATATAGACTCAAGTGTATGTTTTTGATCAGCGTCAAATTCTGAGTTGATTTAGCTTTGTCTGTCCGTCCGTCCGTCCGTCCGTCCGCCCGTCCGTCCGTCCGTCCGTCCGCCCGTCCGTCCGTCCGTCCGTCCGTCCGTCCGTCCGAACGATAACTCAAAAACTAATTGAGCTAAGTTCACCAAATTTTCACAAATGATTTATTGTAGTAAGTGCCAGAACCCTATTTAAATTGGACATGATCGGGGTACCGGTTGGGGTAGCTGCCATACAACTTCAAAATTTATTTGGCTATATCTCAGAAACTATAAAAGTTATGGTATTGAAATTTCACACAAACGAATATATTAGTAGGGCCATTATGCCCCATAAAAGTCGTTGAAATTACTTGGCTCCTTCTGGTACCTGCCATACAACTTCAAAAGTTATTTAACTATATCTCAGAAACTATAAAAGCTGTGATATTGAGATTTCACACAAGTGAATATATTAGTAGGGCCGATGTATCTGGTAAAAGTCGTTGAAATTACTTGGCTCCTTCTGGTACCTGCCATACAACTTCAAAAGTTATTTGACTATATTTCAGAAACTATTAAAGCTATGGTATTGAAATTTCACACAAACGAATATATTAGTAGGGCCAATGTGTCTCATAAAAGTCGTTAAAATTACTTGGCTCCTTCTGGTACCTGCCATACAACTTCAAAAGTTATTTGACTATATCACAGAAACTATAAAAGCTGTGATATTGAGATTTCACACAAGTGAGTATATTAGTAGGGCCGATGTGCTTGATAAAATTCGCTAAAATTTCTTGGCTCTTTTTGGTAGCTGCCATACAACATCAATAGTAGTTTGGCACAACCAGTATTTTGAATAACACATAGTACTGAAATTTTGCATAAATTAATATGGTAATACGGCAACTTAAAGTCATAGTCTGCCCCATAGTTAGTTATGGCACATTAGTTATTCGCAAATAGGATAACAAATTCGTACGGGTATCACAGAGTTGACAAGGTCAACTCTATTTTTTTCTCGTTTTTATTCTATTTTGAATTCTTAATTTATTTTGAGGAAAAAAGATAGAGAGAGAGAGAGAGACAAAAAAAATAAGAAAAAAATAAAACTAACAATAAAAGGCATGATATAAAAAAAAAAATATGAAGAAAATAAATATGTATACCACCTATTGGTTAAGACTCTTGTCAAACGCATTTTTCCTACTGTGATCTCTTAATATGGATGATCTGCTCTTATCTTAAGAGTCTCATCTTTTTTTCTTTTTCGGTCTTTCATCCATCTAATTTTTCTTGTTCTTTTTGTTTTTTATAATTTGGTTAAATATTTATTTTGTATAAGATTAAAGGGGATTTTTTTTAGCCTTTTTTTTTTTGTTATTCAACATACACACTTATATATGCTATATGCACACACACATACATATTATTATATTGGTCATACATTTTTATAATATATATATATATATATATGACTATAGCTTTAGTCTATATAATGATAATGGACAAAGATAGAATTTTACTATATATCGCACACGCTTTATACAATATTATATATACATACATGGATACGTGCATGCATGGTGTTAAGTAAAAATACAGAAAAAAGGAAAATCAATAAATTCAATATTTTATAATATAATAATATATTCAATAAAATATGAAGAATATACATGCTAGTGTAAATTAATTATTCAATAT